AAGTAATAGCAAACTACCCTATTATTGACTTTCGTATAATGAGATTGGGGAAAATCTGGGAGACTCAAATAAAATAGGTTGTAGTCACAACATTGATACCAAAGACAGCAAATGCAGGTGAAAACGAATCTAAACAATGCAACAACCAGATAAAACCGTCTGGGGGATATTGACCTGTAAACACCGCCGGTTGGCTCAGGATTATACACGAATACTTCCCAATGTATTTCAAGTATTACATTAGAAGTGTCGCTTGTATGATACTTCTAACGATGCAGGGGAACTGTAGCTAAGGTACTTTAAGGTTTGCAAGATGTACCTCGTGCTCGCCTTCCTTCTCATCAGTGTTGAGACTGCATGGCAATGAAAGCGTTCCTCCTAGCAGCGGTGGATTGGAGTTTTTAACAAAGTGGGCGGGGCACTCAGAAAAGACGCCTCAGATTCCCTGTGGGATAAATTTGAAAACGGAGGATGACAAATATATTCGTTTGTATGCACGTTGACGTCTAGAATTGTTCATCAGTTTAAAAAATTGATTTGATGAGGATCCAATGTTTCTCGTCCTCTCTCCTGTCGCATATACAATGTTCGTTCAAATTCGATTCGATTCATTATCGAACAATATTTCAGATAAATCGTCAGAGTTTGACGAACTGACGAATCTGTCCAGAACCGATCTTACAAACAATTTAGTATTGTTAAATATTCTAACATATTTATGATTGTTTTCATGATGATCTGCTAAAAATTAAGACAAATACATTCGCCGTTTGTTAAAGAGGTTGTGGAATGCTCGAAGACATTTCCGTCATTTTTCGTGTATATGTAGCCTAAAGTGTGATAAAATAAAAGCGACTATTGTTTCTGTGATAAAATGAGTACAAAGGGTACTTTTGAGAGCTGTTTTTCAAGTCCTGTCATGCCTGTTTCGACCCGAACGTGCAATTTGTGTAAAAGTCGTCGTTGCGGGCAGCAAACAAAACACAGTAAATCGTGACGTAATAAACAGGACTCCCGATGCAGAGTAGCATAAACGAGTCCTGTTTATTAGGTCACAATTTACTGTGTTTTGTTTGCTGCCCGCAACGACGGCTTTTACACAAATTGCACGTTTGGGTCAACACAGGACCTGAAAAATAGCTCTCAAAAGTACCATTTGTACTCATTTCATGACAGAAACAATAGTCGTTTTTATTTCATCACACCTTAGGCTACATATACCAAAAAAATTACGGAAATGTCTTCGAGCATTCCACAACCTCTTTAACTACGCTATAGTTACTCAAAATGGCGAGTTTGTGGATACTCGTTTTTGTGTGCTTTTGATTAAGTGACGTATCCCGGTTCCTTATCAGTTCTAGAACACAATATTTTAAAAAGACTTGACCAAAATCCAAAGCTATATCTGAAAAATGAGGATGCCTTTCCAACCTGCGCTCTCTGCTAGTCACGCGCACAATAATAACGCCATACACCGTGTCGCACCGTCTGCTAATTACAAGCTGGAGTATTTTGCAGTCGGACCTAACTAGACTAACTACACGTTTGAATAAGTGTGAGACGGAAATTTATCAGGACACAAAAGTGAGTAAAATCCATGAAAATGACATGTGAAACAAAACAATCTATCATTGCCAATTTGACCAGTATATCCTGTGGATGGGATAAACCCTAACGTATGCACCAGGAAACTAAAGTCGGTTCCCATCGTGTAAAAGTACCTCTCAAGGAAGTAGTTCAACCAAACCTTTGTTGAACTTGACACCGTCTTTGTAGTGCTTCTATAATACAGTCAGTGATTACTTCATCGAAACCAATGTTGATTAGTATTTGTCCAGCACTCCAGCAGTTGAATACACGTATTGTTAATATCGCCAGTTTGCTCCCGGAAGCGATATTTATTTGCCCTGCAGTTGAATATGCGTAATGTTAATAGCGTGAGTTTACTCACGGAAACAACTTGTGGTAATTCGTAGCTGGAGTCGCTCCCATAATGATGACATACCTTAGCAATTATATTTGCTTCGAGCTTAACAACTGTGACTTCACCTGTACATAATAAGTCATGTTTTGTAGAATTGTACACTCCGATAGACTTCTCTTTGTACGGCATGTGGAGTTGAACATTTTGGGTTTTGCGAGTGTAGGCTCAGCCGTTCATCAACACTTCTCTGTTGGTTGTCTCCAGTTATTCCTACACACCTCTTGTCAGTCGGGTAGACAACTCGATCCTTAGCTTCGTGATTTATCCGGACATGCTGGGTTTATTGCCAGAAAACGTTTTTGCTATCTCGTAATACTGGCATTATAAAAACAACAGAACCGGAGCATAGCTGAAAACTAGACAGAGAGGTTATTGCGTGTCATGACGTGTCATGATGCAATACTGAATTTTTATGGTTCCATAATTGTTTTACGGAAATTTAACGGTGAAAAAGATTAGGACTACACTCTCTTTATAAAGGAATTGTATTCGGATATAAATGGAAAACAGTAAAAGTTTACCTGACATTTAAATTTATCAAAGTAAAATAGAACATTCTTTGAAATAATAGTCAACAGTAAAAGGGAAAATTCACTGTGAATTGGATTTGTTTTTGTCACAACTAGATTTCTTGTCAGTCTCAAGAACTATAGAAACCAGTCAGTAATTTAAAAAAAATATTTTGTTCTTCACAGTAACAACTTACACTGAGTGTACCGTCAACTGAGCGAGTTCACCAACCGTTCAGGGAACTGTTAAAAAGACCTTGAGTTTCAACACCCGGAAACGAAACCCCAAAATTTAAACCAGGCCTATGTAGAAAATCAGCTACGGCAACTTAACAAATGATGATCGTTGGCCCATGAAGAAACCTTTCTATTTTGTTTTCCTATCAATATGTATACAATACTGCACTGCGTACCCCATCGACATTATATTTTTGCCACTCTACGTGTGTTCATGTTGCTGTGGCTATGGGCTGAGTGGTAATCATTTAACAAACATGAAGAACTTTCATTGGAGTATTGACCCCAGCATCAGTCACTCAACTTTTGCTCTTTAGACTAAGCAGAGGGATCGTGAGGAGAATCACCTCGCACTCCTGAGACAGCCTAAACTATATCTACAACTAACTGCTCTGCGTCTAGCCCATTAGCACGGTTACTTGTGGCGGTTAACGCAATGGGCACATCTTGCTCTTTTATAGATGTGACTGTTCTTGTACAATCCAATATTTCCAAGTGTCACAGACTATTTCCTGAGTGCTAGTGATTCAACCTACACTATCAGGTACGTTTGATATCTTGAATTAATAACTTTTCCCCACAGCTTCAAACAGTCGTCATACAGTCATTGGTTATTCCACAGTCTAGTATAATATAAATTATTTATGAGGAAGAACGAATGGGGAACTAAGGGCGAAGACTAATGTGGGATTCTACAACGTTTTGCACTTAAGAGGGCCAGCGGTAAACAGATGGACTGTGCGAACCTGCTTTCAGTCAAAAGATATCAATAAGGGTTACATTTAAGATTTAATCTGTATAGAACATCAACGAAAAGAGGTCACGCTTAATTGACAAGAAAGACGACAACATTTCGCTTTAATATCCAGCTTTAAAGACATTCATCATTTGAATCCTTCAAGATATATATTTTTTAGACTGGAATTTCCAAATGCTTCCGAATAATTCTCCTCAATTTTCACGTCTAATAGTGTGCTTGCCAGCTTCGTCAAAATTTTATTTTGATAGAGATATTCCTTGTTTTGTGTTTTCAAGGGCCAATTTTTTCTTAAAAATAAACAAAAGCCCCATTCGAACAAAATCCAAGTCTTAAAGGTGCTTCTACCGTGTTAATGGTTCTCCACCATTAATATTGTTGCAGCTTGATAGCTTTTGGTAAGACCCATACAGTAGTAGATCCGGGTTGCTGAACAATCGGAGAACCGAGTATGACATTAACTATCCAGTACATGTACATCGGTGTTAACCAGAAGTCATTGTCAATTCCGAACCAATATTTCTTATAGACGAGCAAAAGCCAACTGCATTTGGATATCACACCGTAAATTTTCCATTTTCCTTTCCACGAAAGTGGAAAAAGTTGTGTGTGTGTGTTTTTTTAGAACGATACAAACAATGAAATCGACATCCAGTCCTATTTTGGATTTTGTTTTGTCTCTTCAATCATAAAAGTATTTAATTTTCACCCCTTTGTATATAATCAGGTAAACGAAGGAGAACCTTTTCCCTGAAATTTCTAGGCTTTGGACAAGAGTCCGAAAGATCAGATCTGGACATTCGTTTCATAACCAGAAATTGACTTTGTGCAAAACTAACAGTTAGAACGTTTGTGAAAAAAAATCATTTAGAAATAAGGAGAACCATCCTTTATTTGTAAATCTTTTCATTGTATGGATTCCCTTACTGTACTGTAAACCTTGGTAATTTTTATTTATCTATTTTTTTTTTTTTTACAGTCTGTGGCTATAGACTTTTCTCTACGACCCACTGCATTGAACAAAACGGTGCATTGCCATCTCAAACATCCCCGTGAACTAAATATTATGGAGTCTTGTAGGAGACACTCCACCCTCCCGTGGGCAATTGTTCTGTCTTGGAGCATCATCTGTGTAAATGTTTTTACCACATCAGCTGAGTGGCTCGGAGACCTGTCAGACTATGAGTTGGCCAGCTTTGATAATCCTGATATTTTGGAAGAACCCCCAAGACGTGTATCAAAGTTCAATCATTTTACCTTGAGTGACCATGGTGATGTGTATGTTGGAGCTGTCAATTGGTTGTACAGGTTGGACAGTAGTTTGGAAGAGATACAGAATGTTTCAACCTGTGGTGACAGCAGGTCAGATAGTGTGATGCCCTGTCACCTTACAAATAACTACAACAAGATACTGGTAGTTGACAGTACCCGGCCAAACAGCCTGATAACATGTGGTGGTGTGTATGATGGCATTTGTCAGTTACGACAGTTACGGGACATTAATAACGTAATAATGGAGTCAGTTCCTAACGTTGCTGCTGGGTTTGAGGATGTATCTACTGTTTGGATGCTTACTCAAGGGCGAGGTGGAAAAGCAAAGCTTTACGTTGCAGTTACATACAGTCCTGAAAATGTTGACTCTCGAGGACACTTTCGACCAATTACAAGAAGATCCCTCGAAACTGCTAGTTTTTTAGCAGCGACAGACGATGATAACTCCATCTTCAGCGGTTTCCCTATATCAGTGGTACATCTTAAGTACGCTGCAGCATTTGACCTCGGGGGTTTCACCTACTTCGTTGTCTCCCAAAAAGAGGACTTCGATAGTTTGGTCTCAAAGATAAGCAGAGTTTGTCAAGGCGGTCCAAACCTAGACGCTTACACAGAAATTACCCTACAGTGCAGTGGATCAGATGGCAGTGTGTACAGCTTGGTGCAAGCAGCTCACTTTGGACCAGCAGGACCTGATCTAGCGGCATCATTGGGTCTCCATGCAGACGAGCAGGTGCTGTATGCTGTGTTTGCCAAGAACCAAGGAGCTCCGGGTACCAGTGATGTACCCCTGGATCACTCAGCATTGTGTGTGTACAGGATGACGGATATCTTGGCTGCCTTCAGAGAAGCAGTGCGGGGATGTATTCAGGATGGGGTGAATGCGCCAAACAAGATTAACTATTTGGAGGGTTCTTTTTGCAAAAGTTTCGGGGTGAGTACAGCAGCGTATTTAGAATGATGTTGCCATTTCTCTGAGATTCAAAGATGCATTCCCCGTGCTGTTTTTGAGTTTCACCTCGGAAAGTAGACTGTTTTTCCCCAATTTTTTTTTTTTTTTAAATTTTCCCAGCAATATAAATTATATTCGCTTATAAATGACACATTTAACTTAAATCCACCAACATTTAGTTAGTGAATTATTTCTTCACAAATTTCGAATTATTGGTAGCCAGGCATTAATTTTGGCTCTCACAGAGCGGATTATTTGTGCCCAAAATGAAATCCGTTAAAAAAAAAAATACAAACTAAACAAAATCCACTTTTTGGAGAGAATAAGGTATGCATATATACGTTGCACGTACTACAAAATCAAAAGGCGGATTACTTGTACTTTTGTGGCGTAAATCCAACCAAACTCAATTCAACCCAACGCAAGTGCACAGGTTGCCTAACCTAAGATAAAATCGTCTAGAATCGTCTTAGTCATTGTAAAACATTTAAGAACTATCAGGGTGAGTAAAAAAAAAGAACCCCAAATGTCGGGACAACTGTTTAAGTGAAGTTCTGCATGTAACACCTTTAAAATCTAGGATATTGTGGCGGGAACCCCCCGGACCAACCTAAGTCTGTTAGGATAAGTCTAACTCCTAGTGGGGTGAAGACAATCTTCCCAAACCAAGGCTCTTCCCTAGACGAGAGATCACTCAGAGCGATCTTCAAGGCTAAGGGTGCAGGTCCGTTTTGGTGGAAATCTACCGCCCGATTATGAATGAGTGTTGATTATTTATCTCCGTTAATTAATTGCACAATAATCCTGTAAACATAAACACTGGAAGCAGAATTGTCAGTAATCTCAAACAACAATGATCGTAATTTATTCAACAATAATCAAGTACAACAATTAGGATGTGATTCGGTTGGTTGTTTTATTAACAGGGTCCTTAGTTACTGAAGATAGCCCGCTGCTAGCCTATGCAACAATGCACACAGCATTAAGCACTAGACAACAATGGCAGCAATGAGCAACTATGCACAGCGCTAGTAATAAATCGCTAAGTTAGCAATATCACAGCATCACAGGTGCACAACAGCCGCTTAGCAATGTATACAGTCCTATAGCAGGGTACCCGCTACGCCGTGCGTGTAAGCCAGAATTCAGCTACACATACCAGCGCAACCCCAGTACAGCTACACCGACTTTGTACACAAATCGCCTAAGCAATTACACACGCAGAGTACAAGTAATTTACCGACTTCTCTGCCCGCTGTCGCAGCTACACCAGGTGTAGCGTGAATATCCGACTCCATGAAATGTGGACTCATTGGTAGTACTGCGCACGCGTGAGTACGATACTGTGCTATTTTTAGGATCGTTTCGGGAGAGTGACCTGTCACGTGCGAGGGATCAACCAATAATAGGGAAATAGGGGTCCGATTTTCATAGGAGTCGGATTTTCATGTGACAGGCGGCACTCAACACCGAAAACAGCTGAGCCCCAAAACTATACACTCAACCAGCTATAGTTTCTCACCTAACAACGATCTCCACAACTGTATCAATCAGTCCCAACAACTAAACCGCTAGAACCCAAACCTGGTCTGAAAGCAGAATTAAAACCGAGCGCGCTCCCCAGGCACGCATTTATATACATGTACCAGACGCTACGTCATGTCTACAAACCACGTGCATGCACTAACCCTATGGTGCGCTAAACTTATGGGAGTTATTGGCCAATCACGTACGCGTAGCAGCCCACGGAGCTCGTAAGCTCCGCCCGGTCACTGCACACAAGTGATTAAGCGTTAGAGCTATGGAATGACGTCACAACTAAACACTTTCCGCCACAAGGCCCCGAGCATGGCAGAGGATGTCCCCATACTCTAAAGCCATAATACAAAAATAAAAGGAAAGTGTGACTACATCTTTACTTCTTCAAAATAATTCAATACAAAACTTAAAGCTTAACTTCATCTATAAAATTCAAAAGAAAACATAAGACAATAGAAACATAAAGTTTAACTTCATCTTTTAAATTTAAAAGAGAACATAAGAGAGGAAGTTTTTTGATTTCAAAATTCATTAAATATTCACAAAATATATCATGTACCTTCCTCACATGTCACTTACATGTACAAGTGTTTCACATGTGCAAGAACACCAAAATTCAGCTCATTAAATATGCACAAGATTCTAAGTGCACAGTACAACGTGTCGAAAATCCATGTACATGTACAACTTCACCAACATTTGCTAATTAAATATTCACAAGATTTCACAGGGAATTATCGTATAGCATCTGAATCACATTTTTGCTCATTAAATATTCACAAGAAATTTAATGAAAATTATACTTTTCTGGCTCAAATTTTAGTTCATTAAATATTCACAAGAAATTAAGGGGAACATTTGCACTGATTTTAAGGGCAGAAATTTAAGGATAATCTTAGACTGATGAAATGTACACTAAATTTGATGGCAAGATTTTCGCTAATCGAATTTTACATGATTTAACTAGGATAAATTTTACAGAGTTTAAACAACGAATTTTTCCATTAAATTATATACATTGTTTTTCTTTACCGACAATAAACTTTTATAAAAACATTTATGAAACTTTCAACAAAACTATTAAGAAAACATTTAAGAACTGTTTAAAACCTTAGAAAACTTTAGAAACCTTAGATAAAAACAAAAAAATACATTAAACTTGAACACGTCGTTCACTTGAGTCGACGGGACGCCCGTTCTCATCAGTGGACACTTGCTTGCAGAGATGATGACTGGAACCGCACAGTTGCCGTCCTTATCTTCAACAGGGGGGATGTCTCTCTGGAATGGGACACTTCGGGGCGTGGCTGGGATTGTCTCGCCAACTCTTCGAGTAGGGGAGTGGAGGATGCAGGGGATGAAACAGGGGAGACTGGACTCGCATCCCTTAGACGACCTTAACAACAAATCTGGACTCTAACGATACCACAGGGGCAATTTGTGGGCCCGTCTTGGGTACCGTCTTGGCGCTGACTCATCCTGCCGTTCTGACTGATCGGCTGGACTACTTGGACTCAAATCTTCTGTGATGGAATGCTCCACAGGAACCTCATTTTCGGCCACCTCAGCCAACTCCTCAGACGACTCTTTGTCATCATAAACCTCGGGGATTGCATCCATGGGGAGGGTTTCTGTCACCTCATCCCTGGACTGACAATCCACGGTTCGATTGCCTCACCGACATACGGTTTTAGTCGGTCTACAAAGACTACCTTTGGCTTGCCATTACGCTTAAGCTGGATACGAACCGTTACATCAGACAGCTTCTTGACAACAAGCCATGGTCCTTCCCACCTAAGTTGTAATTTGGGGGACATGTGCTTTTTCTTTGCAGGGTTGTGTAGCCACACAAATTGGCCCTCCTTCAACCCATGCTGAGATGCTCTCCTGTCAAAATTCTTCTTTTGCCTCCGGGCACTTTTCCCGAGACAATTCCTCGCCCTATTATGGGCCTCCTGCATATTACTTCGCAATGTTTCAGCAAAGTCTGCAGTGGCTTCCGCCTCAACCTCAGGACACCCTGTCACCAGATCCACTGGGACACTCACCTCTCTTCCCAACATCATCATGTTGGGCGATTCCCCAATCGTGTCTTGCGGCGTGCACCTATAAGCGAAGGTCGCAGAGGGGAGGAACTCATCCCAGTCCTTCTGCCTACGCCTAGGGTCAATCAGCATCGCTACGATGTTGACCAAGGTTTTGTTAAACCTCTCAACCATGCCGTCCGATTTCGGATTATAGGCGGTTGTCCGGGTTTTTGATATGCCGAGAATTCGGCACATTTCCCTGAACACTTCTGACTCAAAGTTTGTGCCCTGATCAGAGTGAAGTTCTTGGGGCACCCCGAATCGACAAACAAACTCAGTCACCAAAATGTGCGCGACTGTAACCGCAGTAGCGTCAGGAAGTGGAAATGCTTCCATCCACTTAGTACAGTAGTCGCCAACCACCAACACCCAACGATTATCATTGTCCGTGACGGGCAATGTCCCGAGCAAGTCTATTGCTACTCGCTCCATCGGAACACCAACTCGATACTGCTGTAGGGGCGCAACCCTCTTCTTAGCAGCCAACTTTCTCCTGGCACAGACATTGCAACCTCGGAGAAAAGACCGCACGTCCGCAGACATGCCTGGCCAGAAGTACCTGGCTTTGACTTTGGCCAGAGTTTTGCTGACCCCCAAATGACCACTAAGTTGCCCACCGTGCAACTCTGACAGAATTTCTTTCCGAAACTTCATTGGCAAAACCAACAGCCACCGGATGAACTTTCCGTCGTCGGAGTCCCACCTCCTATGCAGAACTCCTTCCCGGACCTGTAACTCGTCCCACTGTGACCAATAGGTCTTACAGGCTGCCGACAAGTGCGAGACCGTCTTCCACTCAGGACGACTATCACCATCCTCCTTCAACTTCATGAGCCAACTCATGGTGTCATCCTGTGACTGTGCTTCCTTTAAAGCACTGCGAGACAGGGTTGGTTGGGCAGCTACGCCCCTAACCAAAAACTCACTCCCCTGAGGCTGAACCTCGGGTATCGCACCGGTTGCCTCATCCTCCTTGACCACCTCCTCACGGCCGCACTGTTTGCATTGCCGTCTCGACAACCCATCAGCATTACCATGCTTCTTGCCACTCATGTGCTCAATGACCAAGTCATATTGAGACAGGACCTCAATCCACCTCGCCAGCTGACCCTCGGGGTTCTTAAAATTAAGTACCCACCGGAATGCGGCATGGTCATTTCTGACCGTCAACCTGCGGCCGTACAAGTATTGTTTGAAATACTTCAAGTACACAACCACAGCCAACAACTCTTTACGAGTGACGCAGTAATTTCGCTGACGCAGTAAGTTTGCTGAGCTTCCGGCTCGCATAAGCAAGCACTTTCTCGTCACCAGCCTGAACCTGCGACAACACCGCCCCAATACCTTCACCGCTGGCATCTGTGACCAGCATGAAGTCACCCT